CCTAGCAAAGGTGTGTAATTTTGGATCGGGTCGCTATCTTCTGTGACCCCTGTACAGCGTAGTCGATTTATGTGATTTATTACAGCCTTGCCTTCTAGACAAGGAATGACAACCATGGAGGGGCACTCAAATGCTGAGTGTGATAAATGTAAAAATAACATGGTTGGGAAACCTTGAAAGCAAAGACAAGGTACAAGCTTTTTTCTTTTTCTGTTTAGAAAGAGTTTTGATCGAAATTTAAAACTGCTCTTACCAAATGTATGCGTTATGTTTTATATGGGGAACTAGCTGGGACCCGGGACTCACTGTCAGGGTCTGAAAAGGGGGTGGTATTGGGTATGGAGATGGGTACGAACTCAGACCCCCTAAGCGACTTTGAGAGTGAGTAGATTCCAACGTTTGTTCTATTTAAACTAACATGGTCACTAGTTTGTAGAGTTAACTAGATTCTACTTTGTCCCTAGAATGTCACTAGTCTAAATAGTCTTTGTTACCATGACTTTAATTAAAGAATCACAAAATACAGTTTTAAGAAACAGCCCCACTGGATGGCTTACTTATGGAAAAAAAAGGAATACATTTTCATTCCTCTATCCCTATCACAGGTCTCCACTTCCATCATTTCTTTGTGTAGAGAGGAAGTAGGGACCGTGGCTGAATGGGGTTGGGTGTTCAGGGATGGAATGCCAGTGTTGAAGAGTCCAATGCAGAAAAAGCTAGCGTACTGTCTTACTGTCTTTCAACAGCATGGCACCCCCAAGGATCAGGTGACACACATTTTGCACACCCTTCACCTGTACAGAAGGGAGTTCTCTCTGAAGGTCAAGCAGGGCTTGACTGGATTGTGGGAAAAGTGTAAAATGTGTAAAAAGTGTAAAATTCCCATTGGCAATTTTAGCCCCCCTGCGAAAGGAAAGAGATGAAAGTAGGGGAAGGGAATAAAATCTGTGCCTAAGGACACCTGCTCCTCTTGACACATGTTCCAATCACTTTGTTTAAGTGGCTGACAGTACCCTCTATCAGCTTAACACAGTTTCCCACTAGTAGAACTACCTATCCTAGGCCCTCGAGTATTAAATACCAGCTTTGGAGACATGGCATACAATGGTCAAGGCCAAGGCTGCAATATTCCTCAGATGTGAATGATGGGAAATAACAAAGAAACTGTGATTTCTAAAAACAGGATGGGTTGTCACAGGCTTGCGTGCCTGCGCATGACATACAAAGCACATGGCTCCTTTCAAGTCACGTGTCACATGAAACAGCTCGGTGATGAACCTTGGAAGCCAGCCTTTATCCACTTACTGCGAACCTAATGCACTGTTCTAGATGCTTGGGATAATGGAGAGACAAGTAAGGTCCCTGCCCTCAAGGAGCCTACAGTCTACCAGAAGGAACAGATAAGTATCAACATGGTGAGTAAATACTTTGCAAAGGCAGAGGGACAGGTAGCCACATGAAAGAAAGTGAGCAGAGCCAGCCTCTGTGAGAAGATTTGAGCCAAGAATTGAGAATAGGTCAGGGCGCCTGGGTGGCTCAGTCAGTTAAGCATCTGACTTCTGCTCAGGTCATGATCTCACGGTTCGTGGGTTCGAGCCCGGCGTCAGGCTCTTTGTTGACAGCCGCTCAGAGCCTAGAGCCTGTTTCTGATTCTGGGTCCCCGTCTCTCTCCGACCCTCCCCTGCTCACTCTCTCTCTCTCTCTCTTTCTCTCAGAAATTAAAAAAAAAAAAAAGAATTAAGAATAAGTCACCCAGGAGCTGCCCAAGCAGAGAGAAGGAAGCACAGACCTGAGGTGGGAGGAGAAAGGCTAGAGAGGCATGCTATCCCTCTCAAATCTTGATGCCATTTTTCATCACTACTTCCTGGCAGAAAAAAGGGATGCAATTCATGTAGACTGAATGATTCGAACGAAGGCCAATAAACACAACAACGTCCAAATCATTCATTCAATTCAATCGACAGGTTGGGCTTCCTAAGAAACTGTACGCAAAATGTACTGGTGGAAGGTTTAGCAGCTTTTCAAAGGAGTTTCAAAAGCTAATCTTCATAGCTTTATTTCCAGGAACATTCATGGAAAGTGGAAAAGTAGGTTCTATTATGTAAGAAGGAATCCCTCACAGAGTCTACTTTTGGCCAGAGTTCAAATGACAACTTCCCTTTAAAAAGAGACAGGGCACCTGGGTGGCTCAGTCAGTTATGCATCCAACTCCTGATCTTGACTAAGGTCATGCTCTCATGGTTCATGGGATGGAGCCCTGAGTGGACAGCACAGAGCTCTCCTGAGATTCTCATCCTCCTTCACTTGGATGCACACGGTCTCTCAAAATAAAAAAAAAATTTTTTTTAATTCAAAAAGGGTGCCAGGGTTGCTCAGTCAGTTAAGCATCCAACTTAGGCTCAGGTAATAATCTCACGGTTCACGGGTTCAAACCCTGAGTCGGGCTTTGTGCTGTCAGAGCCTGCTTCAGATTCTGTGTCTCCCTCTTTCTCTCTGTCCCTCCCCTGCTTGCGCTCGATCTCTCTCTCTCTCTCTCCACACTCCAAAAAAAGAAATAAAAATAAAAAAACATTAAAAAAAATAAAAATAAGAGAGTATGTTGCAAGAGCAGGGGACAAGAACCACACAATTAGCACACAGGCCAGGGTGAGCACCCTCTATCTATCCCATGCCCATTACGGGGCGTGCCGACTCCCAACAGGACACTATCTCAACAGGAGACCTGCATTTGATCCTCAGACCTCAGGGGTAACCTTCAAAATAAAATAAAGACAGTGAAACAGGAAAAGCAGGCTTAATCAAATGGAGGGGGGAAGGGATAAAAAGAATACAGGGCTAAAGAATTCAAGGACAGTAAGAGAAGAACTATCCTCTCTGTCCTGTCCCACAATCTGTCACTGCAAAGGCATCCAAATAAACATACACGTGGGCAAAAAGAAAGTGGAATCCCACAGTTGTCCTTACAACTACTTTCCTTGTCAATGTGACATGCAACTTGGAGCTACTGAATTCTCATTTCATAGCAATCATATGTAAATAAGACTAGAAGACTACATTTCTGAAAAATCTAGTTTAGTGCGATAGCTCCCTCACAATCTCCAATTCAACTGCCTATTCAACCTTTCAGTTACTCCTAATTACTCATTTATATTTAGGCCCACTCTTTCTAATATCTGAATGCACACTATCATGGTTTCTTTCTTAAATTCCACCAAAAAATTTCATTTAGTCTACTTTCCATGTATTAGACAGAAAAAAGAAAAAGCTGTTAAAATCTCTACTGTCACCACATTAGATGAGAAAGAAAGCATTATAAAATAGGTTGGGACCTAAGAAGAGAAAATCACTTTGCTTACAATGAAAAGTTACACCTAATAGTAGTTATCAAATGTAATTTTGCTTAGAAATTATTTTTACAAAATCTTGTGTCACTAATCTTGACAGGTACCCCTTTTTCTACCTTTTAAATTATCTTCTCCAGTAATCCAACACAGATACTTGTAAAATTCTGGGATCTTTTGTATTCTGGGACAAATTAAGTAATTTTTCCTTTTGGATTGGCCTACTTTAGAATTTTTTTTTAACTCAAAAAAAAAAGACAAATTAAAAATATGTAGTTTGGGGGAAAAACCAATTACATGTATACCCTCAATCTGCTAAAGGTATCGCAATGGTTGATAAAACCATATATATTTATATGCAGAGTCAACGTTTTATGATTTTCTTACAAAAAAAATAACGTCTGCTTTTGAACTGTATAGTAGAAGACAATATTTGGACATGATTTATAAAGTACAGCATAATGTTCATCAAACAAGTATCCCTGTTGGGTCAGGCAGGGGAGGAAAGAGCACATCCCTTCAGGTATCTCTAGGCAGTTACTCTTGACTTTTAAAAATATCCCCTACCCTATTATTACCCAATGCTAAAAGGCAGCTATTTATCCTTGCATAGTGCTCCTTGATTCTTGTTACCTCATTCGTATGTGCTAGAATAAGCCAACGTTAAAGAAGGCACGATCGTGTGAGAATCCCTTCCAGAAAGACACTGTAAAGTGCCATGGGCAGTTTTACTCAACACGCAACCACTGCAAATGGGTCCACCTGTTTTAAACATACCTTGCCAAACCTTCCTCAGCCTGAGGGGGGAAAAAAAAACACGGAGGAAAGAAAAAAAAAAAAAGCTTGAAATTTATGGATGAAGAAATGAGTGTTCAACAAAGGTGATAACAGGAAAGTGGAGCAAAGTGCTGGTGTCTGTGAAAATGAACAGAAGAAAAACTTTAAACAACCAGCTGTGCACAAAGCTGAAGTGTGGACCATCTCCAGTAACAAGGAGTGGTTTTTGAATCAAGGTGGTTTCTATATAAGAAAAGCATTCAGTAATTTTTTTCTTCTCATGAAGGCCAAGCAAAGAAGAGGCATTAATGCTACAAATGACATTGCCCACAAAGGAAGAGAACTCCCTCTCCATCTAGACTGAGTACGGGATTAGGTTTCAACTTCAGCCAGTGTTTCTGGAGAGGAACCTAAGAGGTAGACACCAGGTTATAAAAACAATGGTTTCTTCTCTGCTGAGTTCTGGGCTCACTTTATTACTTTCTACATTTCTCCATACAAATGAAGTTAGTGCTACATCTACTGACATTAGACTTACTCTCTTCTTTCCTCAAATGATTATTTATATGTAGTAAGACCAATTACAGAATAAGAATGCAGGAGATGTTTAATTCAATGGCAACTACAAAAACAGGGTTTAAAGACACAGAACAAGTTCTCAAACACCATCTCCGTTTTTGGACAACTTCCTACCCCACAATCACAACTCTCCAGTCTTGTAATGGCTGACCCAGCTTTTATGGACCATATATAAATTCAGGTAAGGTTGTCAAAGTAAGTTTCTGCTCAGAGCACACTACAATCTGACACAAATCTTAGGCTTTTCCTTTAAAAAAAAAAAAAAAAAAAAGCGCCGCAAAGCAATCGCTCATTAACACTGACCTTGCTGTTGCTGCTCACTGTCTGCTTCAGCTTTCGAAGATCCTGGTGCAACAGGAAGGGGTCGAGGTGGTCGGGGCTTTGGTGTGGGAGGCGAGATTTTTTTCCTTCCAATATATTCAACATAAGTTCCTGGAAAGTCCCCTCTTTCCCCCGTCGTCTCATTATACCCATTTAACCAGCCAATTTCTTCAGGCCTGGCTTCCTGTCCGTCACTGAATCCAAGGGCTACTAAAGACCCTTTATTCACAGTCAATACATCGCCCAAGTGCAAGTCAATATCTTCTTCTCGTTCCTTTTTGTAATCATACAGCGCCCGGTACTGGTAGCCCTCGGCACTCATGGCTGCAGATCTGTAACCATGCAACAGACGCGTCCAGTTGCACACTGCAGTCTGACTTTACGTTTCTATGGAAAGCGAATTCAGAGAGTATGTTAAGATTCCTAATAGGTGTCCAGCAGAGGACAAAGGACAACTCTCCAAAGGTTTAAGAGGAGAGGTGACTGGATGTCCGGCTGTCCATCTGTCCTCCATCAATGGTGTGACTGAAGACAGAGCGCCACTTCCTCTGCGGCCCACGGTCCTCTCTTTTCAGCAACTCATCAACACTTGGCCTCCAGGCTGACTCTCGCAGCGCGGCCCAATCCTTTCTGACACTCTTGTCACACTGTCCATCTGGCGTCTGATTTTACTGTTGCACACCACGCACAAGCTTCACCTAGCAAAGGAAAAACAAGACTTATGAATGAATGTCACACTTTGCCATCTGTGTGATTTTGAATTTCTACTTCCATTCAACAAGTATTTAATCAATTTGGCATACACACACGGGCCAGTGGGCTATTGCTCAACATGATATATACAACAAAGATTAGTAAGACGGTCCCTGCCTTCCAAGAACACCTGGCAGGGGTGGGAGGTGTGCTGGCATGTGGCAGCGTCTCAGAGATAAGAATGGTAAACAAGGAACCGTAACACTAGGTCAACCCTAAGACAGGCAGAGACTGAACACTACTGGGTTCAAAGGAGGGAGAGATCACATCGAACCGCAGGGATCTGAAGACAGAATGGAATGTGGGGCATGATCCTGGGTACAGATGTGACTAAAGCAAATGTCATATTCTGGGAAGAGCCAGAACAGGCAGTGCAATCCGTCTGAAGCCAAAGACGGAACACTGGATCTGGATTAGGAAGATAGGTAGGGGTTATATGACACGATGCATGCCTGCACTGAGTTTGTGAGTCATGGGGTCTAATTTAGGGAGCCACCGAAAACGTCTGGAGAGACGGGAGCAACAGGACCAGAGATGCACTTGAAGCATCTCAATCTAATAACGGTGACTAGGACGGATAGGCATAGGGATAGAAGAGGTGAGGAAAGGCGTGAACCGTGCTCTGCAGTGGTCTGGGCAAAGGACCTTGAGGGCATGAACCAAGGTGTCAGCAGAAGGTATGAGAAGGGGAAGAATGAAGTAACAGACATGGCAGAGGAAGCCTGAGTGGATGTGGTGACGCTTAAATGTGGGTCAGGACAGCAGCAAAAGGCCTGAACCTGAGTTCATTAAAAGAATTTAGCCACGGATATCAGGCAGAGGGAAGCCAGGAGACCTGATGGGCTTACAGCTGCAAGGATGGTGGGGGGCATGTGAAAACCTGGTCTGTGACTCAAGAGAGAGAACACACTGCAGATCTGGTGATCGACTGGAAATAAGACAAGCCTGAACTCAGTGGAATGGAGGAACTCGCAGGGAAAAATACTGAAGGTTAAATAATGATCCAAGGATCAAACATTGAGGTTCACTAAATGCACCTGAAAAAGGAAATTCAAAGTTTGGAACCAAACCCTATGTCCGGGAAACAATAAAGAAGAGGATTTGGGTGGGAAAAGCTAACCCCTGAGGCCAAATCCTGCAGGGGCCTCCAGCAGGGAGGAAAGTGAGGCAAGGCTGGGGAACCTGGGCTCTGCCCATCACCCATCACCGCATCATCATTAGACTCCAGTCTAGAGGTATGGAGGATACCAATTAGCATATGAGGAGTTAAGGAACTGAAGAGGGAGCAGAGATGGTTGCTGGAGATCACCCTGGAAAGGTAGCCCCAGTGTTGGGGAAAACAAGCAGTTCCAAGTTTTTTCTTTTTCTTTTTTGAACATAGTGAAGGCAGAGGGATTAAAGACTCTGGAGAGGGGAAGTCAGCAGGTGCCCCCGCCAATAGAAGAGGGTGTGCCTGTATACACTTTGCACTTCAGTTGTTTCTCAATGCCATCTTTATTACAAAGAGTAATAATAGCGACCTAAAGGTTTCAGTTAAGCTGGCCAAGTAACAAAGCCATCAACGACAGCCATGGAATATCAGCTTGCTATATCAAAGAGAGCTTGATACCTTTTAACGAGTGGAGCCACTTTAGATGTGTAGTATTAATAGGAACTCTTCGGTGTATGCATCTTAAGAAGCAAAATCTAATCGCAGACTGTAATGTTGGCATTCAGAAGCATGAAGTATTCAACTTTACACAGTTAGAGCCTCTTAGCCATAGTACGATAATACTCTTAGAAGAGTTAAAATTAAAAGAAGCAAAAAACAAACACTGGAAGCCTTTGCATGGTAAGAATATTAATTTGAGATAGATATTCTACTTTGTATTTCAGTCATCGGATCGGATTTAAAAAATTAAAGCAAGCAGCAGGGTGTAGGAGAAAAATAAACTATATTATGTTTGAAGACAATCTCTCCTTTTGATAGATTCAGGATCAAATTAAATATTCACTGCAGAAATTCACACAAAAATGTAGAACTAGCAAATCTCGTTTTTAGTACTAATGTACTCTGTACAAATGAGACACAGAACTCTAAAGAACATGAAAATTTACATATCCCTAAATGCCTGGAAACCAGGCAACATGCCTAAGAATAATTTAATTCCTCCAAATCTGCCTTGAAATTTTTGTTAGCTTTTCCTGGCAATGTGGGTCTTTTTGGAAAAAAAAAATCTTCAACTAGTAGGTTGGAGAGATCTTTCCACCAGCTGCTGCCTATGGCTTCCGCTATTTCAACAACCCAGTGGGCCAGTTTGGTGAGATTCTTCACAGAATGGTGAGTATTATATTATATGCTCCCTCTCTTCTTCCCTTTGTCTCTCCCTCCCGCCCCGTCTGTCTCTCTTAATCACTCTCTCCCCTACACAGCCCTCAGCAACCATCAGGACCCCCATTCCAACAAGCCTCTGTAGATACTCATGTTCCTAAAAAGGGGACACCATACTAAGAGGCTCTACACATGGTCAAGGTTTCACAAACCTGAAAATTGTGCTAATGCTGGCCTGAGGCTAAATCTGTGCAAAGAGAAAAAGAACCCTGAGGAACTCGATGACCTCAAAAGGCCAGACCTGACAGGTAGCAATCCCCACCCCAAGTGCTAGAAACCCATATATCTCTACAAATTCCTGTCCCTTGCTAATTGTAAGGAGAACCTAAACTAACTTGCGTGTGAGAAAAATCCTGTGCAGAATTCTGGGCTCTCATCAGATAAAAAAAAATAATAATAATTAAAAAAAAAAAAAACAACAGAAAACTACATCTTCTATGATTCTAGGATTATAAGAACACACCATTCCTGTTTTCTGGGACTCCACAATGCCAAGGCCACAAAGATCAATCAAAACAATTCGAGGCTGCCCAAGATTCAGTGCCAACGAAGCGGCTGGAGAGCAACTTTGTAAGAGAAGAGGGAAAGGTGACTAGTAATCTGAGTGGGGGACTGGATAGTGTCCTGTCATTATCTTGTCTTGGCCAGGGAGAAGAGGCAGGCACCTCTACCCTGCTGCACAATACACAATGTCTCCTGATGGCCATCCCATTTTGATGACGGTCATTGTCACAGTGGTCATCATGGGCATCATCTAACACTTACTGGAAGCTGTATGCATATTAATCTATCCAATCCTTTTCCTCCTCATCTCACACTTACTGGGAACTCTGTGTGCATTAACTCATTCAGCCATTACCATCTAATGGTTAATGGGAACTATATGCGCATCAGTATGCTGAATACTCAGCATAACCCGAAGGCAGCACTATCAATATTCTCACTTTGCAGAGGAGGGAACTGAGATAACAGAGAATTTAGCACCTTGGCCATGGTAACACTCAGCAACTGAGAGTTCACACTCTGGCTCCAGGGCCACCACTTTTAACACCACGAGAACCTACTGTCCAAATTCAACTTGCTTTGATGACAAAGGACAGCCCCGGTGTGTCCATGGGGTCAATGATGCAGATTCCTTGCCTGCACACTCTGGCGCCTCAGATTAACCTTGAATGTTTGCTTTCTATTTACTCTCTGGGACAGTGGCCCTACTGATAGTGTCTGTGGCTCTTTCACAAACACACCTGCCAAAAAAAAAGCCACTACAACTTGGCAGCAGTTCCATCAAGTTCAGGACCCAGGATCTTGGACAATGCAAATTTTCTTCCAAAGAGACTTCAGTAAACTGCATCCTTGCCAAAGAAGTCTATAAACTGGTGAAAAAAAGAATTCTGGGCACATCACTTCTGGAAGGCTGCCCACTTCTGGAATCCTGCCCACTTCTCTCCAAGAGTTCCAGCTTCTGCCACCTGTACCCCTCTTGGCATCTACGTCCCCTACCACTGTCCCAGGCCCCTGACTACACAATTTCTAACGACTCAGCTCCTCCTTAGGTGAATATGGGAAACATTAATCCATAGTCACAAGAGCTATCATATCCTGACAACTAGCAAGTTTTTTTTTTCTTTTGTTCCTCTTACCCTCAACCTCTCCCCAGGACTGCAGAAAACTCAGCAGCCAGAGGCACTGGCATTGCCTCTGTAATACAACCCTCCTAAAATCAATTTGGAGCCCAAACTACCCAGATCGACCTGATATATGTTGCCCAGATTCACAAGATTATGCCTCCAATCTCTTTGGTTACATTCACCCATCCAATGAACTCTTTCCACCTGGCTCCAACACAATCGTTAACACAGTAAAGGTTTTATACGTGAACAATATCTATGATCCATAAATTAATGTTTTCAAGTAAGTAATGCAATTTTATGATCTAGGTAGGCTCCAAGCTCCTGCACATGTAAGTTACTGTGAAAGGTGTAAAGAAATCTCATCAACAAATAAGAAACTTACTCTTATATAACATCACATGCAATAGTTCAAAATTTCTTTAACAGTAATCATTGTGCTCCAGTCTTTCAATCTTCTCAAAGGCTGCCTGTCACACCATTTATCAGAAGTATATTTTCTCCCTTTGCTAAGATACTGATCTATTCTTATTCTGTGCCTCAAAATAAAATTGTGTCTGATAGCTGACAATCAGCAATCCATGGCTTCTTAATGTTCAAATGCCTCAATGTAAATTTTCAGTTTAAGCCTCTAATCTGCAGGCATTCTAGCAGAAAACCAAACAAAATTCTTTGCAAAGTGCTCTGACTTTGTGTTGACTTACCCCCCTTTTATAAACGACAAGGATTTAGCAAACTTGCTGGGAGGCAGGAATATAAGATTTTAAAATCACTTCAAATAAATCAAGAATATACTCTAATCATACACTTCTATCCTGTGGTTAAAGCAGCAGTTTGGCACTGGGTCCCAGCACACAGTGGGTCTTCAGCTCAGATGGAAAGGCCATGGAGGGCTCCTGGACCCCTAACCCACACTTCCCTACACTCCACTTCTTTGTCTTCCAGGTGCTAGGTCTGAGTCTAGGGCAAGCTTTCAAACTAAATTCACAGTCTTTTTAAGAAAACAATTCATTTAGAAAGCTTTCCACCTTTCAAATATAGTGTAGCAGAAATCATAAAAATCAAAGTTAGATTAAGCTTAAATTAACAGTCATCAAACATCCCCATTCATTTTCAAACCAACCAGAATGTGCTGCCGGCTGCAAAGCTTGGGGCTGAGCCCAAATTGTGGGCAAGCAGGGTATTTAGGCGAAGACTCCTGCCTGCAAGCCCTTTTGGCACCCAAGGAGCAGGGAGGCTGGGAGGGGTATGGTACAAGCTCGGTGAAATAACCAGGAGGCAGGACTCTGCAGAAAGCAAAGTGATGACACAGAGCTGGAGCGCTTAAGGAGGAGTAGAGAAGGGAGACCCAGGAGTCATCAGCAGGAGGCTGGCGGGAAGATGCCTATGCTCCTCCAGGGGCTTCTGCGGGGCCTGAGACACATATGCTAACACCTGGGAAAGGCCAGGGGGTGGTGACTATTCTGGTTCTCTGCCTCATCGCAATGAAGAGGCACTAACGAAACAGCCATGGAACGAGACGACTAAGGAAGATGATCTGAGCCCCCCTCCTCATGTGAAAATACAGCACTATGTTGCAAAAGCCTTAGCAAGAAGATTAGTATAAGCACTGAGCTTCAGACACGGGCAGCTGTCCCCATCACAGTCTGGATTTTTAACCTTGGGCAAGTTACTCAGATCTCTCCGTGGCACAATTTTATCACCTGTGAGACAGATACAATAAGCAAACATGCACCTTACAGGGTTACTAGGACGATTAAATGAAATTACATCTATAAAGTGCTTAGCTCTATGCTTGATAATTAGAGCTTAATGCAATTAACACCAACATAGCGTTTACTATGGATCAGGCATAGTTCTTAAGAGTTTCGTATATATCAACTCATTTAACCTTTACAACCTCCTAGATACAATTTTTACCCCCGTTTTACTGATGAGAAAGCAAGCAGAGAAAACTTAAATAATTTGCTGGACATTACATAGCTAGTAAACTGCAGCTATTCCATTACTGGTATGATTATTATTATTGCTACTGGTATTCAACATCCCTTACCTCCAATCTGAAACAGAAACATTTGCTAGGAATTTTTTTTTTTCTTTTTTTTGCGTTGCCTCTAAATGCTTGCCATCTCTTGTAAATGCATCCTGAAGTTAGCCAAAAGTCTGCTGTCTCCTTAACTCCTTTTCAGAGAGACACATAAAGGGAGTCGGTGTACTTTGCCCTCCTTGTTCTCTCTCCCCTACCCATCCCCCACCCCCAGCCTGAGGTAGAGGGTGGTTCTGGAGAGATCAAGGCAAAGGAGAATGGGGCGGGGCCAAGACTCTTCTCCAACAGGGTATGTTGAAGGCTCCCGAGATGCCCTCAAAGACAGAAGATGACAGGCACTAACACAGTCCTCCAGGGACTAAAGGTAGCTGCATCCTTAGGTTTCAGCCCTCGCTCCGCCCAGGGTCTAGACCACTGGGGTCCAGTCAGGAAGGTGAGGGGCAAGGACCGCCCGCCCAGGTACCTGGCTTTATTAACTCACTCTGCACACTGGTGGAGTCTCTTCCCACATTGCTCAAACTCCTGTGATTTCAGTACTTCTGGGGTGATCCTTAACCTGAAAACTATTTTGACTACAGGTGCCCATGAGTATGTAATTGATTTAATTTAAGGAAGACAATGCTTTTTGTACCCTTAAAAAAAAACAAAACAAAAAGCAAAACAACCTAACAGAAGCCAAATAGATGAGTTTATGAGTAATTATATAGTCTATTTTTCAGCTCATTTGGCATCATGTACATGAAATGGCCTTTAATTGCCATTCTTTTAGGCAAGTAATTTCAATAAGAGCGTTGGCAGAAGCATAACAAGAAATCACATTAGGATATAGGTAGAAGAGACATTAAAAAAAAGCAACAAGTAATACCAATATTTTAAAAATTACTTACAATCTAAGTTTTTTATTAATAGCTGTTACACAATTTATATTGTGCTTTCTAAGATAAAGAACTAAATTGATAAGCCATTCCGTCCACTGATAGGCAACCTCATTTTCTAAGAGCTTCACGTAGAGGCTCCATTTTCTTGCCTTTACTGGCAAATCCCTGTGTCCTCCAAAACAGGGGAATCTGTGAGGAGCCTAGTTAAAATGTGTAACATACAGAAAAAAGCACTTCTCATTTTCTTCTGCATGGTGTATGTCCCACAAGTGAAAGAATTAAAAGTAAAACCCCAAAAGCAACCATCATCTCAGCTTTCTATGATCTACCTGACCATTAAATCACTTTCTTTGAATCTGCTCCTTCACCATCTCTTTACCGAAATGGATTTTGGAAATCACAAAATGCAAACATGAGAAAAGATGAACTGAAACAGTTCGCGTTTTAAGGAGCATGTGGACAATCTTTCAAGAGTGGATGCCTTTTTAGAACCTGACCCCTGAACTATATAAGGAAAAAAAAAAAAAAAGAGATTTTGACCAACACACTAATTTAAAAATCATGTGGCATTCATGGAAGAATTTAATTAAAGATACGTCACAGTTTTTAACAAGAGAAGATTTGGGTAGGTGGTGTATGTTTGCATTTAAGATACAAAACCCTCCAAAAATCAGATTAGGTACAGCTGGCATTTCCAGAAGATACATGCACACTACCAGCATCACTGCCAACAACCGAAATAGGTGTTAACTGTAACTTACTTTACCACTTCATTCCCCCAAACCAACTTTATGCTGTGGGGATTTCCTGATCTTAATAATTCTTTTTTAAAAATAACTAAAAAAAGACAATATAATTAACCCATGGGAAGTGAAGTGCTTTTTCACACTATCAGCGTCACACATGAGAAAAGACACAGTGATAACATCATTTTACAAAAGCAGATAAAACAGCAGATAGACCGTGTACACTAGAGTTCTGTTATGCAACTGACAAGAACAGGTCCCAAAACAAGATGGAAGTTAGAAAGCAAAACGCACATAACACTTTGAAAGCCAGTCTGAGATACACATAAAAAACTGTACATTGTTATGGAAAAGTAGGACTATCTACTACCTAACTACGACTGGCATATAAAAGCAGAAGACACCAGAAGTGGCATAACCCAACAATTCTATACGGCAGGTAGGTCTCCTCGACTGACCTTTCCAGTTTAAATCTTGATTCTGAACCAACACACCTGCTCGAATTTTACAGGGACCTCCCCTACCCCTCCAAAAAAAAAAAAATGCTCTTAAGATATTTTCTTTGTAACAACCAAAACACTTGCTGTCCAAAGTTTAATCAACTTTTGTTTCTAAGAAACTATCCTCTACTGATTTTTTAATTCTTAATTTCAAGAAAGGTGTAATCTATTAAAGAACTTTAAGAGGGGGGAGGGTGCTTGTATTTTTCTTTTTTAACGAAAAATTATTTGTGGGCTTCCGTGCAGAACTCATCAAGTTCCCAATTATTTGCACCCTGAAGATCCATTATCCTGAGAGCATACCTCAAAATAAGCCTGTCTACTCTGATCTTTTCTAGTTAATACCTACCCATCTTTAAAGTGGCAAAATGCAACCCAACCTAATGAAACATTAAAATACAATTCCACATAAATGCCTGGGTCAGTAATCTTTGTCAAAGTCCCGCCTAACAACTAAAACTTGAACCTCCTTGCACTGAAATGACAATCTTAGGCTGCACTCAAAACCCGGAACTGCTTTATCCAGTTGTACTTCGCACTGAATGACAAAGAGAAAAAGAACAGAACAGGAAAAGAAAAAAAGAAAAAAACCAAACCTGTATCGCTTCCAAAGTCAACGCCCCCCCCCACCCCCAATAAAGAGTAAACTCATACTCAGTTACCGACAGTGCAGCAGCTCCACCAGGGATTAACGGTGGAAGGGAGACCTTTTCCATATTAATAGTGCTCAGGGAAGCCCAAGAATTTCCCCAAATCCAGTTCACACACATTCTGCATTCAACATGTAACAGCCATTCCATTCGCACCCTTCTATTTCATGCTCGAATTGTGGTTACCGAAGTATGTATCTGTACTGGAGTGCCTGGCCTGAGCTTTTCAGTTCTCTTTGTCTTGTGATCTGCGGGGCAGTTTCTGCTCTCGGGAAGTGAGTGTTAGAGCAGTGGTTGCCAGACAATTGCCCCACGAAATTTTAGCTCGGGCTTGCCACACTCTCTTGCTCTCCTTGGCCGGCTCCATATTGCTGGGCAGGTCCCTCCAGTCTCGTTCCGCGCTACAAAAAGCTGGATTTCCGGACTGTTGGAGGACCCCATTAAATATGCCTCCAACAACCTGTCCAGGCCCGGGCGGCACTAAACGCCGTTAGGGCCCCAGCGACCAGCCGCCCCGAGGCGCACTTCCCCCACCCCGGAAGAGGAGGAAAGCAAACTTCGGAGGGCGGGGGCTCGCGGCGAGCTCCGGGGACCACCGCCGCCCCACCCGCTCGGGGGAAGGGCCCGAACGGCAATGCCGGCTGCAGCCGTAGGACGCCGGGGAAGGCTTCGCTCCATCCCGCTAACTCAAAGGCAACGGTCTGGGCGTTCTCCTCGAGCGAAGGACCCCGGAAAACTGCAAGGCGACAGCAAGGACCCTCAGAAATGTGCGGTAACGGAGGAGTGGGGACCAGCGCGAGATCGTCTGCAACTCAGGGGACCAACGCGCCCGGCGGCGTGCAGCGAAAGCCAGCTCGGAAGTCGGAAGAGGACGGGGGAAACGGGAGCTCGCAGGCGGCCGGGAGCACGCAGAACGCTGGCCGCGAGCCGGAGACGCAGGCGGCCGGCCCGCTCTCCGCCGGCTCTGCTCTGCAGGAGAAGAGCCTGCCGGTGACAGGAAGAGAACGGCGGCAGCCGCGCGCGCACGCACTGCCTCCCCCTCCCGGGCGCACACACCCGAACCCGCTGCCGCTGCCTACCTCCCCCGCCGGCCGGCTTTCTTCCTCTGCGGGGCCCGGGCTGCAGCGGCGGCCTCCGAAGCGCCTCCGACCCGGCCCCGACCGGCCCGCCGTTCCGGCTCCGAGCTCGGCGCCTCCAACGCGCTAGCCCGCCGCCCTCGTCGCGGACGCCGCTTCCTCCAACTCCGCTCCAGCTGCTCGAGACTCCTCTCCGTCAGCCAGCAGCTCCAGCGCCCGGCGCCGGCGCCGCCTCCGGCCCGGCCCAGCGCGCCCCGCCCCCGAGCCCGCGCCAACCAGCGCGCGCGTCCCCGCCCCTCTCCGCTGGCGCCGCGCCCTCGGCCGCCGCCACTCACCGTGCCGGCCCCGGAGCTGGGCGACCGGAGGGGCGGAGCTCCGGCTCTGCGGACCCTTCCTGCCGCCCCGCCAGCCTTCCGCCCCCGGCCGCGGGGATGCCCCGGGCGGCCCGGCCCCGCGCTCGCTCCGCGGCGGAGCGCTCAGCATCTGCGCCAAGCCGCGGCACCGCCGGCTGCCGGTGTCTCCGGGACCAGAGGCTGTGGGGCTGGGAGAGGTGGAGAACGAGTTTAGACTTAACAGGCTGCGTCTCTGATCGGAGTGTCTGGAGCCGAGCCCAAGCCTTCTTCGAGCCCCCAGCGCCCCAGCGGAATGCCAGGGGCGGGGAGGAGTCGATTTGGCGGGGCTCGCCAAAGCGGGGAGGCCCTGCAGTTCCCGGCTTCGCCGGCACGGCCTCGCCTGTGGGCGGAAAAACCATGCTATCGGCGTGGCGGACCGGGGTGAAGGAAGGGTGAAAGGGCGAGCCGGGGAGGCTAGTGCCCGCAAGCTGCTTCCAGCTCCAGCAGCCTGGCCCCGCTGCCGCCGGGAGCCAGGCGGGCCCGCGACTGGGGAAGAGTTTCATGAGGAGGGCGCACGCTGACTGATCCCTTCCAGCCTTGACATGACTGAGCAAATGTAGGTCGCGCTGGCGGGCCAAGGCCCCTCGCTGCCCCGGGGGTCGGGAGTGGAAGCCCACAAGAAATTACACCGACTCTTAAATGTTAGTTTTCAAATGCAGATTCTTCCACTAAGAATCATTACTGAGTTGCTCAAGAGAAATCTGATGCTGGTTCAGACGTTCCAAGGACGGGTAAGATGGAATGCCAGCAACTTGTGCTCTGTTCTTTACTATTAAACCATGGAGGAGTCCGCTCTTTAAACATCTACTCCCAGATTCCTCTTTCAGCGGTTTTGAGATCTGCACGCGCCCACCCTGCTTGCCCTAAAGCCCTTTCTACAGCTCTTTCCCAATTCCCTTGCAAGGATTTTCCTTTTTTTTTTTTTTCCTTCTTCTAACAATTACTTAAGACTTTTGTCAAACTCTGAATTTGGTGGTTTATGCCTGTGAGTGTTGGCAGTGAAGAACATCCTGAAATTGATTATCCTCAGAAAATAAAATCATTTTGAAAGATGACTCACACTCTAATGGAAAAAGTTAGCTTCTATTTCAGGTTCCAGGTACTAACCTTTCTATTATTCCAACATGTGTCTTGAAGTGGAAATAGGAAAGTAGAGAGCTACCAACATGTTTAAGAATCCACTTTACCTCAAGTTTACCAAGCGATATCCTTTCCACCTACTCTTTGAAATGAAGGGCCTCATCTATTGTTTGCCTGAGCTTGGAAAATGAAATGAGGTGTCTTGCCCTGGGGTAGAATTACTTTGACCCGATCCAATAAACTGAGCTGTAACTGCTGTGATGTTTACAGTATTTCCTTTAGGCTTGGGTCTGAAGAAACCTTACCAGCTGCCTTCTCCTTTTGTACATGATGAGTTCCTGGAAAGGGACTCACATACTGTTAGGATGAGGGTTCTATTCCCTCAAACCTAAAAAAACCCATGAAATCCTTGAGTTGAGCTTCCTCATTTTCAGGTGGTCTTGAGCTATTGATGTATTTTCTTTCATTTTTTCCATCGTATTGAAACACACAGCATGAGTCCAAAGAGTAACCCATGGGAAGAAAATTACTCTCTTTTTCGATAAGCTGAATAATTTCAGTCTTTGTTTCATCTGTATTGATACCTGCCCCCCCATAGTACTAACAGAAGCTTTTTCATTTTCATTTCTCATTGATTTCTATGAAACAACAAAAAGCAACAAAACAGTAGTATTCAAACTTTAAAATAAACCTTTCTCCAAAATAATATCTGGACTCCAGAAATGTAACTGTTATTGTGGTGAGGCCAAGGGAACCTGTAGGCATCAGGACTAGGCAGGTTATCATCTCCTGGGGATATGTGGGAAATGCAGATTCTCTGTCCTTACTGCATCAGAAATGCAGGGGGTGGAGCCTACCAACCTGTTTAAGCCTTCTAAGTCTTCACGCTCCCAGGAGCGAGCATCTGAGAGCCTTTGCTCTAGGCCTAGGGCAGCTGGGAACACAGACTGAAAACCACTCGGATGAAATGCTCAAATAGTCACAGAAACACCACTGTTCAATCAGCAGCCTAACTGTTGGCTGGCAGGTGGTGCCACCACCAAGGAGGAACATACAATTCCCCAAAGGAAGATGGGGATGGTGGCAGTGAAGGTGGTTTGCAAGTCACACCTAAGAGAGATAAGCACCTGCAGCACCCTGAAAGGCTGTCAGTGGCTACAGCAAGCTGAGAAGTGTCCTCCCCAAAGAAGACCGGTCAGATACCCTCAGATTTGCCACCATCACTCGAGCTACTGCAAAAATGTGAATGCTAGAATAGGATTCCTTTAGACTCAAAACCCAAGGATGCGGTTTAGAGTTGAAACAAGAAAACAAATTATCAATGGCATAGAGCCTTACTTCGTGAAGAGAGGTGCCCAGACCAGCAGCACTGGCACCACCAAGGAGCTTGTTAGATATGCAGCATCCCAGGCTCCATCCCAGGCCGTCTGAATCACAGTCTGCGGTTTAACGAAATCGCCAGGTGACTGGTGTGTAACTTAAAGTTTGCAAAGTTCCATCTTAGCAGGGGTCCTCAGTTTTGGCTACTTGTGATTGGCTAGGGAGCTTATAAGAACCCCAATGCCTGGACAGCAGTCCAGAGAGAGGGTATCAAAACTTCTGTGGGTAGAACAGAGGCATCCGTGGCCTTCACGGTTCCTCACATAAAGTTCCTCACTTTATGGTGTCTCCAGTGTCACACCAGGATTAAGAACCACTGCTCTGGGGGACCCAGATAGGAAAGGTGCCCTCAGGAATGCCAGCTGGGAGATCCTGGAGCACAAATGGATGGTCTTAAAGGAGGCAGCTGGTACTAGCGTTCAGCTGATTGTTACCACACAGGAATGTGAGCCCAAATTTACCAAGCCTTCCAATTTTCAGAGAGAACCTGCAATCCCAGAGTTTTATGGGCCATTTCTCAATTACTGAATGCTGGCAATTCATTCACTATTTTTTGAAACCTGGATTAGGCCACATATGTGTGTTGACCCCCGGTTTATGGATTTATGATGCCTTACATCATAAAATTAAGTGGACCTCAACGAAAAAAGGGCACCCAAGAGGGCAACTAACTTGTTGGAATCTCAAATTGCCTCTCTAAAGGCCTAGGTATTTTTAATCTTCTGTTCTCCACAGCACTGAACGCTGCAGGCATTCAACAACTGAGAAATGGTAATGGGTGAGACACCAGCTCTACTAACACTAGGAGTTTTGCCTAATAATTTTATTTTTCCTCCTTCCTGCCCTGATCACTGAAATCTTGGGGGGGGGGGTGGGAGGGGGGTAGCACAAATCAATCCCTATATCACTTAGCTTAAGATCCTCCGCTTTTGTGAGCTGACTAGCTTAAACATATATTAAGAGAAACATGGAAAAAAATGGCTGGAATGCTTCCCAACAGAGTGAGAATTCATAAGGCCACTAGTACTACACTTCTCATTCTGGTGTTTCTGAGCTTCAACAAGTCGTTAACCGTGTTGAAGTCCTACAAAGAGTGACGACTTCCTGACTGTACCCCAGAGAACGCGTCAGATCTAATCGCCCATATATATATATATAACCCAAGTTCTCTGCTCACAATCTCTTCTCCGGCCACCCCGGTCTACTCTTTTAGTGTCTGAATCCTCATAAGTCTCAACAAACCACCCAGTATGAGATATAAGTGACAGAGCCCCCTCTGTGGCAGTTTCAGCCAAATTTTACCCAATATCTGCTCTCAAAGTCCCCAGAAATAAGAAGCTGGACTTCAAAAAGTTACAACACCGTAACCGCCACTGAGGTGATAAAATGTGAAACATAGAAGCAAATGTTGGTGTACTTATTTTCTTAAATGCAAGGGTCACTTTTTATTTTGGTGTAACTCCAGTAGCTCATGGACTTACTGGTACACAGTGGGGACTCAGTAAGGGAGGAAAGCCTGGAAGTTTGAAGGAAACTCAATACAAATCCCTAGATTTGTGACCATTGGAGCAATAGAATGCAAGTGCTATTCAGAAAGAGTATCTGAGAATCGGAGGAAGTTAAGCCAGATTTGGGGACAGAGCATCGGGGCCACCCAGGATGACAGTCTATCACTGGTACTAAAACATCAGCAGGCATGGAGCACCTGGAAACCACATCCAAGGAAGAAAGAACGTGGGAGCTGATATCCCACCATAGAAAAGATTACCTGGAAATGGTCATAGACCTAAACACTGAAGAGCAGACACTACAAAACTCTTAAAAGAAAATACAGGTTTAGAAGAAAAGATTTCGTAAAAATTAGGACACAACTATGAAAGAAAAAAAAATCAAACCAAACTTCATCAAAGTTTTGCTCTTCAAACGGCTTTTACGAAAATAAAAAGCCACATCTTGGGAGAAATATTTGCTGTTGAAAATATATCCAACAGGGGTGCCTGGGTGGCTTAGTCGGTTAAGCGTCCGACTTTTGCTTAGGTCATGATCTCGCGGTTCGTGGGTTCGAGCCCCGCGTCGGGCTCTGTGCTGACTGCCAGCTCAGAGCCTGGAGCCTGTTTCAGTCTGTGACTCCCTCTCTCTCGGACCCTCCCCTGCTCATGCTGTCTCTCTCTCTGTCTCCTAGAAATAAATAAAACATTAAAAAAAAAAAAAAGAAAATATATCCAACAAAGGCCTTTTATTAGAATACATTAGGAGGGGTTCCTGGGTGGCTCAGTCAGTTACGAGTCCAACTCTTGATTTTGACTCAGGTCATGATCTC